CACGATTGACTTCTATTTACATATGTATGGCTAAAGTGACGATAAAGAGGAAATTCCATCGAACAAAACCACCTAACAATTCTGGTCCAAGTAATGATTGATCCAAAATTATTAAATTAAATTAAATTAAATTAAATTAAATTAAATTAAATTAAATTAAATTTTTACTAGTAAAATATTTTAATGTTTTTTATTAAACTGCCATTTATTACAAAACTGTACTAAATGTTTATTTTAATAATACATCTTCAAGATTTGTTTGTTCTCTTTGAATGATGATATCTAATTTTTTTTTGTTTATTTGCCGAATGAATTTGGCTGGTGCATCAATGAATCCGCTGTTACCTCCAGGTGGCGGTTTGTTCTTCGATGTGAGAATGACAAAGCCAAAGCCCGCGTTATCTTTACGATGGAGCGTGATATCAAACGACCCCTGGTCCTTGACGCTTGGCACCTGGATACGTGGAAGCCGAGGTGAGCCATTTACAAGGGTCAGCGCTCCACTCCCAACATCCTCCGGGGCATCTATAGAGCAGAAGATTACACGGACTGACCTTTAATGAAAGCTTTTCAGGCAGTTAATTACAATCCAGTGCTGGTTTTATGTCTAAGGCCTGTCAGTCAGCAGTGCTCGCCTTTGTAAATGACCTTCCTGCGCACTGAAAGTAGCACTTGTCCGTTGTGTGCTGCGTTAGTCATCAGATCCAGAACTTGCTTGTGAGATTTTCCCTTCACGGTGATGCAGTCGATGCCAACGAGCTCATCTCCGGTCCTCAGCCGGCCTTCCTTCTCTGCCGCCCCCTGGGGAATTATGGCACCAATGTAGACCTAATGAAATTAGACAGATAGCTTGTTTTAGAACTAAGACAGAAAGTCAATCTGCTGATAAATCACATAAATACAGTCCATGAATATAAATACCCAGTAATATGGTTACAGAAGAATGAGGGACTCACTGGTTGTTCAACGCCTTCTCCTCCAAGCACACGAAAGCCGAAGCCTGTCTCCTGATCTCTCTTGATGAACACGTCCAACTCTTTATAGTGAGGTACTGCATACAAATAGACATGGAAGTACAATAAATAAATTGGAGAATGTGGAATAAATCACATCCATCAATTCATCACACAAAAAAAACAAAACAAAAATAAAAGCAACAGTATTTCATCAACCATGCATATGGCCTTTTCTATCTCTCTGCATTCAGATCATAAATTAAAAGGATAGCTCTCCCAAATATGTCATTTGAAAACCATATGATATTTTTTCCCATGATGCTCAAATGCTGATATTAAGCAGCAGCTCTTTTCCATGCAATAATAGGAAAAATAATAATAATTGTTGGTGATTCAGACTGTAAAGTTCAAAAGGAAAAAAGTACCATAAAATAGTCCCATACAAACTATATTCAAAGTCTCCTAGAGCCATTCAATAACTTTTTAACAAAGAAAAATTGAAATGAACTGAAAATCTTCTGCTCATAAATCTCATTCAAAATTTTACACACTTAAACCAATTGCGTAATATGTGCAAGAACAAGACATTTGCCCACGGCTCTCATTATATTGTCTCTAGTGTGCCATTTTCTCATGTATTATGATTAGAACATAAAAAAATATTTTTTTATTACAAAAAAAAAAAACATTTTCTGAATGTGTATTTTAAATAAATAAAAAGTATTTAAATAAGATACATAAAATCAAATAAAATGTAATTATATATATCATAATTGTCACTTTATATTTAATAATTTAAACTTTGTATAAAGCATTCAGCCAAATATTTTTAACTGATTTTCAACTCCAACAGATCCACACAACATGGTGCTGTAACATAAAAGTTTCCTCTTTGCAGGATGAGCTCAGCAGAGACTTTCAGTACAATTAAAGGTGTGGTTCACTGTTTTTTTCTAGGCTTGATTGTGTTTA